TGTAATAACCAAACACACCTCAGAAGTGGCTGCCAGCGTTCTTCTCAAATCCTTCACGCTCGGCTGCTTCTCACCTCTCCCCCTTTCCAGCTGCGTTTATGGGAAGGAGAGGCCCAGCATTATGGACATAAAAGCTGTGTGGATGGAGTGTGTGGAGCCCTGGCTGTGAGGGCACATGGATAAACATCCTCCCAGTTGCTGGGAGCAGATATCCATCATACCAACACGCTGCCACAGGAGAGAGAGGATCAGCCTGCTTCCCAGTTTTTGACAGGAGCGTTCCTCTTCAGCCACGCTGCGTTTTCTTTACTACTGAGTCATGGAATGGTTTAAAGACCATCGTGTTCCAACCCTTGCCAGGGGTAGGGACGTTTCCAGGTTGCTCCAACCTGGCTTTGGACACTTCCAGGGATGGGAAGTGTTACATGTTGATGAATGACAAGTTACCGTCCTGCATAGCCAGTATATTTTGGGGGTTGTTTGGGGTTTGTTCTGGGTTGGGTTTTTCCTTTTTCTTCCCTTCTGTAAGTTATGATTCTCATAAGAAAGTACGTGGAGTCCAGGGCTGCCCAGCCCTGCTGATTCGGAGCACGGGGCACTTGTTTAACACCTTATTCCATGTGGGCAAACGGGGAAGGGAACACAAAAGGGGAAGGCGGCAGGAAAGCAGGAGCACCTCGCCGGTGATAAGGCAGCTCAAAAATAGGTTGTGACAGCTGAACTAATGAAGTCACCGATGCTGATACCAGTGGGCTGCTTCTCATTATGATTTCTGTCCCAGACACGGTGACATTCCCCAGCCAGTGCGAGTCTCCAGCAGACGATACGTGGAACGATCCGTAGGGAACGTGGTGCCCGATGGAACGTTCACCCAGCTTTGGGGTTTGTTTTGTTCCACAAGGGCACGGTACTTGTGTGGATGATAAAGGTGTGGAGGCCAAGCTCAGCTTTGCTGGACTACTTTATCAAACTGGGGTCAGAGGGCTCTTGTTGTGACATTTAGAGATAAGCGTTTGGGAGGTAAATGAGATGGAGCAGCCTGCAAGGAGATCAGAAGGTGCTCATGTAGCTTCAGACCTCAAGTAAATTACAAACCCAAGCGCTGGTAGCCTGACCATTGATATGTCCTTTGTACTGTATACAGTGTATTAAGATACAGATAAATAATGCAGTTTAGCTGTCAGAAAGATGCATTTGTTGCCCAGGATTTTAACTTAGATTTACTCTTGGTTTATTTTCTGTTGAGTTATTTTTAATGAGAATGGAAAGGGAGCTAAAAATTATGTGGATTCGGGTTTCATTGTGTAGCTACTTGATCAAAATGTAAACTCATTGTTTATACTCTTGTAAAGAAAAAAATTGCTATACTGGTTCTCAGTGATCAGATTTGATTCAGATAATGATACAACATCCTAATTCAGAGGCTCTACTTCAGATACCGAGTTTGCCTGTGATACAGCCTTTTTCAGAAAACTGCTCTAGCCCTGGTAAATGATCCAGAGAGAGAGAGAATGCACATATTTAGATGGCACGGAAAAATAGGCTAATAATGGGATTGTATAGGAATACTCAAATATTTCAAAGTGTTTGTGTTGATAAATTATAATTTGTTTTAACATTCAGTTGCATGTACCCTTTTCAGCTGTTCTGCTTGGCTGCAGTGCTTTGGTAGCTGTGTGAGGGCTGGAGCTGGATGCTTTTCCTGTTTTGATCACAGCCCAGGCAGTAAAGGCCACCACACTTTAAACAGATAATAAATCATGCGGTGTCCTTGCTGACCAACACTGCTGATTCCCCCGGGTCTGAACTGAACGTCCTTCTTTCTGTTCAATTTAGTGTAAAGAAGGGAAAATTCTATTTGAAGTTAGGGTAATATTTTGAGACAAAGTCTGATGAGGAATTTTTCCAAACTGCCAAAAATAAATCTCCCCGGCAGAGCTGGAGCTGGTGACTCGAGGCATATGTATTCCTGACTTCTGTCTGTTTATTTTTATTTCCCTTTTATTGTGAGCTGTCTAAAGTTTTGATGTTGTTTCGCCAAGGAAGGAACTACAGGAGTAGCCTATAAACTCTTTCCAAGGGGGAGGCTGGAAGGGGGGGGAGGGTGTGAAGAGAAAAACTGGTGTGAAAAAGGTGTTTATGCATTTTGTGATGACTTGGGCCATTTATCCACTCACCTGCTTGGAGTATTCGATTGTGTTTAAAATACTGGAGCTCGTTCCTCGCAGTTCCTTTTCTAAACCTGTTTGCTCTGTGAAGGTAATGGCAGGGGGATGCTCTGTCTCATTTGTTCAGCTGCAACAGATTTCAAGTTATTGTGAAGATTTCAAGTTGTCAGAGCATTTTACTCTGTTCAAGTGTGTGCTCCAATGACCAGTGTGTCCTGGGATTGCCCAGCACTGATTGCAGTGGGATAACCCATTGCTTGCCAGTGGGACTGAAGCACTTTGAGCTGTTTTCTCCTCCATCAGGAGATGTTTTACCACCACCAAAAGCCTCTTCCTGAACCAAGCACGACACGTTTTCCCATCGTGGCACGAATTTTGCTTGGTAATCTTCTGATTGCTGGGATGAGCGTTTGGCATCCTGAATTCGCTAAATGGAGGATGTGTGGGAATCAGAGTTTGCACTTGAAAGCTTTTCTCCCTGTCTGACAGCTTGACCAGCTGGTTTTGTGCCTTTGGGATGCTCCTTGTATTCCCTTCCTCTCCCCTTCTCTCCCTCTTTACTGTTATAAACCACCAACAACATCTCTCATTATTCAAGATGAATAAGAGGTGAAGTCCTGACATAGTTTATATAATGAAATAAAAAGTGCTGCAAATCCTGCCTTCCAGAAGTTTGGATGTGTCAGAGGATGCAGTTAAATAGCAGGATCTTGCCAATGCAGACACAGAGGAGCAAGGATTACATTCTGCTGCCTCTGGATCTGGAATTAGATCTCCTGTATTTCTGCTTTCACTTCTGACATCACTTTCATGGCTGGTGCCAAAATAGTCAGTAAATTCAGAGGCAATACCGGGGACAAAAGCCCTAAACCCAGCTGAGATTTGTATTTCAAGAGAAGTTGCTTTGCTTGGATGGTATAATTTTTCCTGATTTTATAAAGGGTGCCAGTATTTGGACTGTAAATCTAATTCTCTCTGTGTAATTTTGCTGAGTGTTAAAACCTCCCATGCCAGATTTTGGCCTTGAATGTGGACATTTATTTTGCCATCATGGTTATTGTTACTTTCTTCAATGTCAGCGTCATCAGGTTACACAGAAAACATGTTATAAAACCTGCACAGCCCTCTGGTCTCCCAGAGGAGGCAGGGAGTGGGGAAAAGCTGCTCAACCTGCCAGTTTGCTTTGGTAGAGGTGTAATTTGTAGGTGGTTGTGATATGCCAGGACAGTACCTAACCTTTTCTTTTCCCAAAACAGGCAGCAGGAGATACCAGGAAACGTTTAGGTGACTTGGCTTGGTCCAAGAACAGCAGCACAGTTTGGTTCAGTGTGAGGAGGGAGCTTAGAAAGCTGCAACGTTATCCTTGATGGGGATTAAGCTTTATTTTAGTGCAATAACCATGTCAGAAGTGAAATTTGGCTGATCATTTGTCTTTGATAGCTTCATTTGCCTTTGGCCCCTTAAGCCATTTCTCAGGGAGTGGGAGAACTCCTGATCCTCCAACTCTCTGCATGACTTGTCATTTAAATGACAAAAATCAGTTCTCTCAAAAGCCTACTTTTCCTTCAGGAAAGGCAGATTAAATCCAGGGCTGAGAGTGTTTTGGTGAGTGGTTTAATGTCCAACATGTAGCATGACTGTAGATGTAAAAGTAAATGCGTTGGAAAAAGAGAATTTTCCAACTTTTTTAAGGTCACCTTCTTTTCCAAAAAGCACTGTAGGACTTTTCCAGAGCATTGTAGGACTCTGGATTGACAGGAATGTCCAGAGTCTGACAGAATCTCACCTGGCCCTAAAAATGGGCTTTTAGCACCCACATTGGTTCTGGTCAGCTGAGCCTTGGAAGTCTCTAAGAATGGGAAATTCACCTTTTTCCCAAAGCAGTGCTGCCCTTCTAAATGCAGCATCATTTAGATACTGGTTTTTACCTCATCCAGGTTCATTTCTGACCATGAGGTCACTGCTTGTGTCCTGTCAGTGGCCAAACCAGGAATCCAGCATCTTGGCTGTGCATCAACAGTAGTGTCCTCTGTAAAGTCACAGGATTTTTATTCTTCAGGCTGGCACATAATTAGAATGATGAGAATTCGAGTGAATTAGACCCAAACCAGCTTAAAAGTGGAGCCACAGAGAATTCAATGTACAATAGATATACCTTTTTTTGTCCTAAATTATCTTGGTTGCTAGGTAAAAATGTGCTGTAAACCTTTAGATTGGTTCTGTGGGCAGTATTTTGATGACTTTTAAAGCATTAAGTGTGTTGTTGATTTGGAAGAAGAGATTTTGAGTTACAGAGTAACCAACAAACATTGCTGTCATCTTCAATGTGCTCCAGTTCCCTGATGGCTAAAATCAGAGCACTCCTGAGAAAAATAACAAATAGAAGGGAGATTTTTTACAAAATAGCAGCACTCTTAGTTGAAATGATGGTCCAAAGTCATCTTCTTTAAGCCTGGCTCCCATCTGTGGGAATTTCCTTGGCGTGAGTTCAGAGGTGTAGCTGCTGTGGACGCTGATAGAGGCATTTGCTTCTAATCGTATTAATGTTTCAGCTGAATTAGGGGACTGAAGGCATTCAGTGCTTACCCAACGTCACCACAGTGTTGATAATTAATGCCATTTGCGGCAGATACAGGTGTATGTCAGACTGGGAATTCAGACCTGTTCAAAGTGAGTCCCAGGTACGCTCCTGTTTTAATCAAAGCTCCCGTAAAACGCGATCAGAATTTCAGCGGCGCTTCAGAACTGAAAGTAATGTCAGGAAAAGACATCAGGACGACAACTCATCCTTCTAGATTTTTTCTGATGGAATGTCTCGCTTCTCTCTTCCAGGACCTGCGCAAACAGGTAGCTCCGTTACTGAAGAGTTTCCAGGGAGAGGTAAGAGCTTATTTGTGCTTCTCGTGGTGCTTTTTGTGCTGCTTCACACGAGCTTGGTGTGCTGGTGGTCTGTGAGCGTGGCCAGGTGGGCACAGAGCCCCTGGGCAGGGCAGGACAGGGGCTCAGCCCTTTGCATTTTGCTGTGTGCAGGATGTGTGTGTGCACCTGGAGGGTAAGAAAGGTGGAGAGGGACGTTTTACAAGGGCATGGAGTGACTGGACAAGGGGGAATGGCTACAAGCTGACAGAGAGTAGGTTTAAATGAGGTATTAGGAAGAAAACCTTCTCTGTGAGGTTGGTGAGGCCCTGGCACAGGTTGTCCAGTCAAGCTGTGGCTTCCCCATCCCTGGAAGTGTTCAAGGACAGGTTGGATAGAGCTCTGAGCAACCTGGTCTGGTGGAAGCTGTGCCCGCCCATGGCGGGGGGATGGAAAGAGATGATCTTTTAAGGTCACTTCCCATCCTTTCTATGGTTCTGTGGTGTATTGGGTTTGTGCTGGGCAACCTAAACTGGCTCCATCACTTTGCTCTCAGCACCCCTGGGCATGACCCAGGTGGCACATCCAGCTCGCTGTGCCTCGCCAACCTCATGGCTCGAGCTCCTCATGAATGCAGTGCAATGTACTTACACACAACAAATAGTTCTCACTGCAAACCTTTTCAGCTGTAAAACATTGCATTTAAGAGGGCTGATGGCAAACCTTAATTTGGCAGGTGTTTGTTGGAAAACCAGCAGAAAGCATTAACAACTCTGGTGCTGGCTCCAGCTTTGAGTTCTCTTCACACTGCTCCACTGAGGGCACACGAGTAGAGTGCTCACGAGTTTCAAAGCCAACTGTTGTTATTTTGAAGCCTTCCTATAGGCAGAGGCAGCTGGGCCAGGTGGAGGATTTCCCATTTTTGCTGTGGCCAGCACTGGAGCGCTCACTCACCTGAGGCCGGGTGGGACCTGTGGCGCCCCCGCTGGGAAAACCTCAGGGATGGAAGTTGCAAATTCCACTTCCTCAGTCCATGAGTTCTTGGCTGACTTTATATCATGGCAGTTGCCACCAGCACAGAGAAATTGAGGAGCGTGTTTTCAGGAGTCAGCACAGGGAATTGGGTGCACAGCTCCCCTCACTGAGGTTTGCATTTGTGCGTCCTGCTGGTTCTGTATCCCAGCTAGGCAGTAACTCCTCATTTAAAAGCAGTGTGGTAGTTTTTATTTTACAACCCAGTTTCCCATGTATTGCTAGAAATAAATAAATAAATAAATTAACACGACAACTTTGTCCTTGATGTATCTAATAGACACTTGTGAGAACAAAGAATGACTTGTGCCAGTCCGTTTGCCAATGGAAATTTACACTTTAAAATTGCTCTGAGTGGATTGCAGTGCTTTTAGAACCTTTTCACTTCACTTTCAAGCTTGCAGTGCACTGACTGAAAAGTGCATGTGTGCCTTCAGCACTGTTTTTCATGAAGGGGATGTCTGAGGATCAAATGAGAAGCATAAATCCAAATCTGGCTACAGTGAAGAAGATCTTCCCGTTAGATCTCTCCACAGACAGCTCCCTGTTCCTGTGTATGGCTCAGACACACTCTTCCTCTGTAGTTTTGCTTCACTGATACAAAAATGAAGTTTATTTTTGTACAAATTCAACCTCACTGGAGTAAAATTTGTTGGTAGAAATCCCCTGTTACGTAAATGAAGCACAAATACCTTACAGGATTGTGCTGATGAATCTCTGAGCTGGTGATTCCAGTCTCCCTAATCTAGACAGGGTTTTAGAAACCTAAAAAACCTGAACTAATTATGATTGACTACATAAATGCACAACATTAAGCTGTGAATTGTGGTATTTGATTATAGATGTAATTACTGTATCTTGTTTTGGAGACAAATCAAAATGTGAAGGATATTGGTCTGTTCTGTTGAGTTATATTTGATTGGTCAGGATATAGATCTGGTTTCTGTTTGCTGTTAAGGCTGGCTTTCTAAAAGATCAGGAGATGAATGCTCCAGGTATCTCAGGGACAAGCTGTGTTAAACAAATAGACTTTTCCCCATTTCAAATCCACTGGTGATGCCTCGATTACCATTTCCCGAGCTGGCTTAGCTGGGGACAGGACATCCACCCCACCAGCCCCATGGGATTGCTTTGCAATAGTGTGTTACCTGTTGGGTGATATTTACTGTCCTGGGACAGCTGGCAGAGGGACCTTTTTGTCACACAGTACCTGTGGGATGTGAGCAGGGAGCAGGAAGGAGGAGGAGGGCAAGAAGTGCCCTGCTTTTACTGCACAGATGTCAGTTTTCAGCCCCAGATTTGTCCCTGGAATCGTCTGGATGGGGCTCTGAGTAATGTGGTTGTAGTGTCCATGCCCATGTCAGGGCACAAAGTTTTCTTTCTTTCCCCTTTTTTGCTGGCTTAGTTTCCCACCAGGTTGATTCAGAGCAGCAGCTCAGTGCAGGGGAGAGGCCAGGAGAGCAAAGCCAAGGGCAGGAGCAGAGCAAATGTGTCAGCTCAGGTTGACTTAAACTGTCCTTGAACCGCACCTTGGTGAGCCTGACGTGACTTGGAGAGAGGTGAAGTTGAGCTCAGGTATTTAGGTATCCTCCCAAGTGTGATTTATGGGAGCTACAGGTAAACCTGAGGCCAGCTGACTTTTTAAACAAATCCACAGGTCACTTAAGCCAATTTTTGTTTTCTTTGAGCATGGGATATTGATACTTCCCCCCCATTTTCCCTTTGTATAGTATGAATTTCTAAATAAACCCCCAATACAGAACATTCTGTATTCCTTAGTTATTTATCTCATTCATTCAGATAAAATCAGTTATCAAATAACCAGTTTCCATTGGTAGCTGGAAATAACTTTTTTTGTATAGATCTCAGTGTGTTAAGTAACTGGATTTTTTTATGGTGAGTCAAAGTAAAAGCATTTTGAAGTGAAATTTAGCATACTACAAGTATTAAAATGCATTCCTAGTTCAGCATGAGACTCTATTAATTCATCACTGGAGAATAGTTTTATTATAGTACTTTTTCCTTATTTAGGATTTTAATGGAAATTTGAATGCAGTTTTCTAATTGAACAGAATGTTGTGTCTGATTCAAAGCTGATGGTATTGTTCTTTTGATTTTTGTGAGTAACTCTTCTGACTTTCCTGAAAGATTTAAGGTCTGGATGGTGCAAAAAGGCTATTGTGAGAAGACAATTAAAGCCATTAATTTAAGAGTTGTAAAATTCCTGTCACTTCTATCTTAAATCTGTCTTTTTTTTTTTTTTTCCCTTGCCATTAACCTGAGGATGCAACTTATTAATGTCTTGCTCACCCTATGCTGAGCTAAATACAGGACAGAATCAGAAAGAGGTTAAAGAGCTTTATCGTTCCATCATGAAATGATTATATATAATTTGCGAGGCCCTCCTGCAAGCAGCCATGGGAACAGGCTGTGTTTTGGGTTGGTCACTTGTGCTTCACTGTGGGTACATCAGTGCATGGATATTTGTACCTGAAATCTGAGAGCAGGGAAGCAAAAAGAAGGGACGTTCTGTGGGCTGTGCTAATTCACACAGAGCTTGTGGTATGGAAATCTAACGTTGGAATCTGTATTTGTGAAGTCATCAGACAGATATTTTAAGGCTGGGAAAGGATTTCCTGAGGTCATTACCATTCTTTTCATGTGGCATGAGAGCACTGTCCAACAGTAATGCAGTAATCCCTCATTTGGAGAACCCTTTAAGGCACAGACTCTGACACAACTAACTGGACTTGATTTCTGGGAAAGCCATTTCTCATATTCTTCTCACAGAGCAAGTACTTTTAAGGGTATTGCCATTCTGATGAGACCACTCTGGCTCCCCTCTTAGCTGAATTGCTCTTTAAACTATTAATTTGGTCAGTGGAGTAATTTAATAATTTTCTATATGCAGACAACAGAAGCTGAAAATCAGTTTGATGTGCTGGAACTACTAATCATGCCTTTGAAGGAGTACTCTAATAATGTGTATGCCTAAACCACTACAGACCTACATTCCTTCTGCATTTTGAAGGAGTATTCCTGAGCCGATACCTCATATTTTTTTAATTTTTAATTTTTTTTTTTTTATTTTACCCCCTTTAATTTCCTCATGTTAAATTTCCAAACCTAATTAATACAATTTCTTTCCTGTAGGTTCACTCCATGATGGCTCAATTAGAGCAGCAGTAGAACTGTGGTTCAATATTCAGGCCAGCTTCATAATTGAAAACACATTTTCTTCTCAAAAGCTGCAGCTGGTTTGGTTCTGCTCATGCAGAAAAGGATATAACCTTGCATAACATAGGAAATGAACGGTTGAGAGAGAAGCCAAATTCAATTTCAGTCAGATATTTTGAGGATAAGTCCATGATCTATGGAAGCAAGGGAATGAAAAGTGTGTGTATGTGGAAAGCAGCGTGTTCAGCACTCTATTAATCACGGCCAGCCTGGGTGCTGTTGTGTGCCTTGCGTTAGCACTGATGCTCGTACAGAGGCTGGAGAGCAGCCAAGCACTCCAGAAGTTAACCTCTTAAAGACCCTGAGCTGCTTTCTGTTGAATAAATGTAATTTTGTGGTCAGAAATAAATGCTTGTGATGTAGCAGGAGCTTTGAAAACAACAGCGTGGCAAAGCTATTACAAATTGCTCTGTGTTGGGGAAGTCAACAGCATACATCAAAATCCAGCGCTGTGTTTGGGCCCAGAGCTTCCCTGCTTTTCAGTGGAAGTCCCATTAAAGCACTGCATTTACCAAAATGGAGTAAAGTGAGTATTTTTGGCAGTTAATTTTCTGTTAATGTCCGCTCCACCTCTCGGTTCTGTTCCCCGAAGCTGCTGGAGAGGGGAGAGGTCACGGCCTCCTCTTGGGGTAACAGCAGCTCCACAGCCATTCATTGCTTTGTTTACAGAACTGTGCGAATGATTATTTATTTATTTTTGGCTGGTTTGATTGCAGTTTAAACAACATCTTTCCTGAGGAAGGTGATTTAAATAC